TGACTGTGAAGGCATGCAAGAAGTGACCGTGAAGGCATGCAAGAGAAAAGAAACTAGAGAAAAGAAAGGAAAATCTAGTCATTTGAAAAGGTTTTATGGGGCTTGGAGAGACGGTTCATCGTATGGAAACATACTTGCTGACAGCCGGAGGACCTGCCTTCTGATCCCCAGCACTCATGTTAGGAGCCAGGTGCGGTTGTGTGGCTGTAACAGCAGTGCTGGGAGGCGGAGACTCGAGGAACACAGGGGCTTGCTGGCTGGCCAGTCTAGCCAATCAGCGAGCTCCAGGTTCAGTGAAAGCTCCAAAGATCCCTTCTGGACTCCAAGTGTGCACATTTGCGTCCACCTAAACACATTTGATACAGCATGCCCTCTCTGACTACCACAACCACAACAAAATATTTTGTGTGCCGTTTTTTTACATGCTGTGTGAGGTTAAGTTTTCCTCAGAGTAGGAAATCCTGTTTGTTTGCCTGTTTTTGTCTCTCTCTCTCTCTCTCTTTTTAATGATAAATAGATTTAATTTAACTCCTATTCATCAAATAGAATTTGGAGGTTTGAAATGAATACATACATGTTTTTCCTTTTTGTGGAAAGACTGTGTCAGAGTTTTAATCACTCTAGAGATTTCTTACATCATAAGTTAGGGCAAATGGCCAACAAGCTTGACAGGAAGCAAGCAGCCTTCATGAGGAGCCAATAAACTGTGAGGATGTAGTTGGCTGGACACAAGGAAATAACTAAAGAAAAGATGATCTGTAGGCACACAGTTGGGCCCTGGTGGGGAAAGGTCACACTAACATTCTGTAATGTTATTGCATGCAGTAAATGGAGAGGGGGGGATGCTTCTAAAACTTGTAATTAAGGTGTGGATGGGAAATGGCCCATCAACACCTTTCTTATGAGTCATTTCCACACCCATGTACTGGCGGTAACAGGAACAAGGATGACCAGGACAACACAAATTTAGAACGCTCATTCTGACCTTCCTGGTGAAAGCTGTTCGAAGGAACTAAGTTCTAACAGGCTGGAGGAAAGGTGCAAAAGAAAGAGTGGATGAAAGTGAAGTAGTGGTCTGTCTTCAAGGTTTAAAGCTGGGAACTGCAAAACAGTGGCAGCGATGGACATGCCGAACATAGGTGCCCAAATCTGCTCCCTGTCTCGACATGAGGTACCCTCCTTTCTTTCAGGGGCAACTCCATTTTCAACCACCTGGCAGGCAGCATCACTCATTGAGCCCTGTAATCGGAGGCCGTAGAAATGAATAAAGGTCAGTCATGATTCTTGGAGGCTTTAGGTGTCCAGCCCACCAACTGTGAGCAGTGGGCAGGATGGGACCAGTTGGGTTGAGACTTATGAGGCATCAGAGTAGGAAGATAAGGGCCATAGCAAGCATGTGAGTGAGTCATTGGTACTGAGGGGAAGCCAGAGCTGACCCTTGTATGGTTCACCTTAAGAAGGGGACATTTGCTAGTCATCAGGAGAAGAAATGGCAACTGTGGTAGTGATCAGAGCTACCAAGTTATGGAAGGTGAAGGTTGGTATTTCAGAGAGATAAGGAAAGAGTTCATCACACACACACATACACAGAGAGAGAGAGAGAAGGGAGAGAGAGAGAGGGAGGCCAGAAACTTGAGAAATGAAGCATGTTTAGAGAGTGGGTGCCACTTCTTAACATTAGAATACTCTAACTTCATGTGGGCAGTGTTTTTTATTTATCTGTGCCCTTCAGGTATGACCTGGGTTCCAAGAGCAGCCAGTTTTCTGTACCCCATCCCTAAAAAGTCACAGTGAAAGTGATCTGATTTAATATTCCAGTTTAGCCTAATCATGGGGAGCCAAAGAGGAGAAAAATCATAGATACCAGTAGCAGAAATTGATGGGACTTTATGAGTGACATAGTTAAGCTGTTTACAGTATCACTGTGTTTAGTTCTTACAATGACTCTGCCAGCTAGGTACCATTACTGTTATAAATGCAAATATGCAACCCACAGAGGTTGGGCCTCTTGTTCAGAGTTATAGTAGTGAGCTGTGGACATTGATTCTAACCCAGGCAATCTGAATAGAGAATCTTAACTCTCAGACAACAGTCTTTCCTGCCTGAAGATGGTGAAGGCATAGTCATGACAGCCGTGGGAGTAGGGACATGCTCTGAGCATCTCTTCCTGATGCTTTGAACATAGCAGGGAGGACATCAAATATCAGAATGGGCCAAGTCCAACGGCTGTTCCAGAAGAGTGTCCAAACTCCTGCCTATTTAGACCCAGTCATTTTGCTGGGCCATGCTAGCCAGGAAGCTTCCAATGGTGTTTGTGGTGGGCATGGGGAGCTCCTCCTTTCCCACCTGCTTCTGGGCCTCTCCAACTACAGGTGCCTCCTGGTGGACAGGCCTAAAGGACATCCTGCCACTCTGTATCACAGCCTCCTTACCTAGGAACCATTACTGACATCTTTGCTGTGTGCTCCCACTCTGTTTCCTTTGTAGCTTCTTTCTTATCAGTTTCTTTTGGTTTTCCATGTTCCAGATGAACATCTAAAGCAAAGTATATAAAATTCTCAAAGGTAGCCGATGGGGGAAAAAAAAGTCCAAATACCCCTCGTTAATAGACTTTAGTTTTTAAGTGTAGTTTTATTTTCACATGAAAACTGAGAGGCGTTCCATCTCCCTAGCCTCCTCCACTCTTAGCATCCATTTCCCTCTGTTTGGCAAGGAATACAGATGGAGGAAGAGCTCTATATGATCAAAGTCTCTATTAAAATAGTTTATGTGGATTTGTATTGACTATTTTTAGCTGCGGAGTAGCTGCCTGGCTTAATTCTACTACACTTCTGCACAAGCTATTTAAACATTCCGGGTTCGCCATCACATCTCTAAAATTGGCGCAATAACTTTCAGGAGGATTTATATAACATTATCTGACCTCCAAGTGAAGTGCCTGGTGATTAATAAGGATTCAGAAGAGAGTCATTTTCTATGAATTTGGCACAAGTCAGGGTACAGGGTGCATCAGAACTGCATTGCCACAAACTAGTAGATCAGAACAACAAATGGAGTCCTCTATTTCTAGAGATCTGACATTCGAACTCAATTTCACTGATTTAGTCAGCTTCTAGTGAGATTTCTTCCTGGACCCTTCCTAGACACTATTTCCACACCTGGTAGGTTCCAGGATTAGAATCTTGAAACAGAGGGGTCCTTACATGTGTGTGATATGTTGGGGTGGCTTGCCTCTCCTCTTTTTTAAAACTTATTTTTATTATTTTATGTGCATGGGTATTTTGCCTGCATGTATGACTGCGTACCTACCACTGAGGTCAGAGGAGGGCATTGAATGCCCTGGAAGTGAAGTGAGAGACAGTTAGGAGCTGCCTTGTAGATTGCTGGAAATCTGGATTCTGTGGAAGAGGAGCGAAGGGGCTGGGGGCAGGAGAGGGCGGATGGCTGTGATATCTCAGAAGTAGGTAGGGGCTGGGTCTTTCCAAAGTTTTAGTTAACTGTGGATTCGTTCTCGGAGCGTTTCCAGAATCCGCATTTTTTAGACACCTCTGACTCAGTTCATAGAGCTTTGTTGGGTGGGGGTGGGGAGGGAGTGGAATCCAAGTTTTTCAGGATTCCTATCTGTCCCAGTCTGGAAACACTGACTCAGTTCTTCTACAAAGTCCTGAACCAGACCTTGGAAATAGGGTATTCCTCTTCCCGTCTGCTGGTGTGTCATGGTCCCATGGTTGAATTGTTACTGGAAGGGGGAGGAAACAAAAAAAAAAAAAAAAAAAGCGACCCTGAAAAAATGAAAACTCCTTTCTGTACAGTATTCACTGAGACAGTTTCCCAGCGGGGACACTTCCAACTCTGAATTAAATGGGTGATGACTGTCCGGGTTTGGCAATCTTGCAGCTGTTACTAGCTCCGGACCTCGTGGGTCTGACGATCAGGCTAGGTCATGCCCTTTGCTGCAGGCAAGGCTTTTTCCTCTGCGAGAGCAACCTCCTAGAGGGGCCCGGCACCCTGCCAGTGTATTTTGGTGTAGGGTGGGCTGAGGATTGGCTTTCAGGATTGCGTCCCCGCCCCCTGAAAGCTTCAGGCACTCTAGAGTAGCGTGGGCAGAAGGCGTGGCCAGACCTAGGTATATTTATTCTGGCCCAGAATACATTTGTTCTGGCTGCTCCAAGCTCCCAACGGAGCAGTCTGAAGGCAAGAGCACGCTCGCTGCCTCAGCGGGGAAGGGCTACGAACCCAGCTGACCAGGTGGGGGCAGTCGAGGAGCCGCGACCCGAGGGACAGAAGTTTGGGGTGGGAGGCAGTGCGAGTTATTATTGGGAAGTGATGCGGTACCGAGTCAGCTTCATTCGGGAGCGATGAAAGATAATCTCTAACTCAGCTATTGGGTGAGGAGGGAAGAGAATAGAGCTCAACCCTGGGGCGGGGGTGGTGGTGGTAATGGGGGTTCAAAACCTTGGCCAGATCCGAGAAGATGCAGGCTCAGTTTTGAGTGATGGGGGCCCGCAGGCTCAAGTCGTCCTCGTCAAGAGTTGACAGGAAAGCAGTATCCGACTCAGCTCGGGGTGATGAGGGCAGAAGATCCGGTTTAACCATGCTGGTGATGGGTGCCCAGCAGCGTGGTCAGATGGCTACTGGCGATGAGCCCGCAGGCTCAGGTCTGTGGGAGACCACAGGGCACCGATTCAGGCTCAGCTAGGGTTCTCGAGGAGCACTTAGGCTCAGCCCAGCCCGTTCTCGTGACTCCCAGGTAGTCTTCAGCAGCCGAAGCCTGGGGCGCCTCTTGGGAGCCGCGGCAGAGCTGGCGGGCGCGCTTCGCGCTGAAGGCTGCTGGAGGCGCTGAGCCTTCATCTGCAGCTCGTGGTGGGAGGAGCCTCCGCGGCTCCCGGCCCTCCGACGACAAGCCCCGCCCACCACCGTGGGCCCGCCCCCGAGCCCGCCCCCTTAGCTCCAGGCCGCCTGCCCAATCGGCAACACTCTCGGCCCAGCCGAGCCGGCGCTTGTGTGGCCGGTGGCTGCCGAGAGAGACCCTAGCGAGCCGCGGCGCCCTGGGATCGGGGACCTGTGCGGCTCGGGAACGCGCCCTGTCGCTATTGTGTCGGCGGCCGCACGGGCTCGCGCCGTCCGGACGGCGATTCCCCTCCTCTTCCTCCGGGAGGGAAGGCTCCGACAGTGCCGAGCTGGGCTGGCTGGAGGAGGTGTCCGCCGAGGCGGAGGGAGGAGCGTTCCTCCCCGGCGGCTCTGCTTCTCCTCCGGCGGTGGTTGCGGCTGCCGTTGGGTTCAGAGCAGCAGCGGGACGCGGGTTTCTGGCCATGGAGAGGAGATCTGCTCGCGGGGACGCCAGGAGCTCCGCTCCCGCTCCTCGGGCCACCGCGTAGACACCTGAGTGTCTACCGACGCCAGGAGGGGGAGGGGAAGGTAAGGTTGCTCTGGTTGCGGGTCCCGAACCCCGCCTCCTTGGCGGTCCTGGGAGCCGGGAAGGCGCGTACCCGGCTTGCGCACCTTGGCGTCCTGGAGGCCCGGCCGTCCCCGCGCTGGCGTTGCTGCCGGGAAGCACAACATCCTGTGGGTCGCAGCGTCCGCCTTCGCCGGCGCCTTCCCGCCGGGGTTCCCCTAGCGCGCTCTGAGACTCAACCTTCTTCCACGTAAAAGGATCCTTGGGGATAAGGGTTTGGTCCCCAATTCGACCACTTTGCGTTCCCGGGGAAGGTAACAATGGACCTTTTAAAGTCGGTGTGAACAGCTCTAAACTTTCTGGAAAGGCTGCGTGGGGGACGCGGACCGCAGTGAAAGATTGATGGAATGTGCATTGTGGAGCCTTGGCGTCTGCGAGCGCGCGCTTGGGTAAAGTTTTGTGGGGGTGCAAATCTTTGTCTCCCTGAGTTAGTGTGAACCTGGTCCTTGTGGTAAGGCTTCAGAAGCTGGGCATCTTTAAAGCTGGGGACCCTATACCCAACGTTTCCCCCGCAGAGTTGGGAGGTCTTGGCAAAGAATGGGGTTCTCACTGCGAGTGCCCTGAGGTGCTTTACTACCCTCCAGCAATAAAACCAAGGTCCTGACTTGCCTGCGGACCCTCTGCCGAGGGTTGGTGTTTGTCACCAGACCTCTCTCTCTCAGGGGCGGAAACACCTCACTTAAATCCTCCGCTGAAGGTTAGGAAAACAGACTTTGATATACGTCTCCTTTCATCAGCAGTTGGGGTTGAAGACAGAGTGCCTAGCAGTTTAGGAACTGCTGGCTCCTGAACCTCGCACTGTCTCGGACTCCCTTGTGCTAGCGACTTACTGTGATGCTGCAGTTGCACGGGCTGAAGGTGTGCGGAAGTCCTGAGAGCCCTTGCCAGAAAAAAAAAGAGAATTTAAAGGGTAGAGGGAGCGGGAGAAGCCGAGGAAGGCCCGAGTTCCCCCTGCAACCAGGCCTATCTATCTGTTGGAAATGTCCGCTAAACATACAAATACATACACATTTCATACATCCCTAAAGATTAAGAAAGCCTGAACCTTTAGCCCTGGTCTGGGAGTCCTACTTTGGTGTATCCCTCATCATCTGTGAAAGGATCCTTTTGAGTTAGCATTTCTGGGCAGAGCAGGATGTGCACCAGGCATGTTGTTCATTTAGTAAACTTAGGACAGCTCATGATGGGGTCTTCTGTCTTTGAATGACTCTCCTTATTTATGGGTTGGGATGGTGGGTTGGAGCTGAAAATATATCTTCTGACTTTAAATTCACTCTATCCCATACTGTTTATCTACTTTTTGTCCTTACAGGACAGAAACTTAAGGTTAGAAGTGAATTCTGAGCCATCACCTGCCCTGTGTCAGCCTGTGGATGAGAGTAAGCTGAGAAGTGGTGAGTGTGTGTACCTGTGTGCGTTAGTGTGCAGATGACACGTTGGGATCTAAAGTCTCCCTCCGGCCCCTGTGAAGTTCTGTGGAACTGCAGTAGCAGTTCCATGACTAATTGTTTGCGGACGGGCTCGTCTCTTCATCTAGCCTGTAGCCAGTGGATGATTTCCCGAAGTGTTAAATAATGGGAGAGCCGAGAGTGGCAGCAACCCAGTTATGCTCTAGGGGACACGGTGAAGCCTGCGCTCACAGTTACCAAGAATATGGGCAAAGAAGACTGGGCTTGTCAGCCGCTATGAAATCAAAACGTTTCCACTTACTAGCTGTGTGCCTCTGAGCAAGCTTCTGAAATTGAGATAGATGAGCCGCGCTTCAGAAAGAGAAGGCCATAATCACTACTGAATGTACAGTCCGAGTCCCGCATTTGTAAACGTCTATGTGTTATAAAGTGCCCTGAAATATTTATTAGTAATGCACCCATCAATCCGTCTGCCGTGGGTCCATCAATGGAATACTTGTAAATCACTCAGCATGTGCCAGGCATTCTGGAAGGATTCAGCATGCTCAGAGGCACTTTGTGTTAGTGGGAGAGGGAAGCAAAGGAGTGGCTGCAGATGGGGAAGCCAGAGGGCGGGATATCCCTGTGTGTTTTCCATTGACAGAGATGAGTAAGGCTGCAGCTAAGGAAATGAGTGTTGCGGGGGGGGGGGGGGGGGCCTCAAACAAACTAACAATACCAACCTTATCAGCATAAGAATGAGAGACCCACTGTGCCTTTGCTTTAGGAGGGCAGCCTCACTGGAGGTTGGGCAGTAGAACAGTTTCTGACACTGTTTGTTAAATCAGACAAAATAGTAGGGACTGAAACGTGGCATAAGAAGTATCACTCTATCTATCACTCTATCTATCACTCTATCTATCACTTTATCTATCTATCTATCTATCTATCTATCTATCTATCTATCTATCTATTTTTGGAGACAGGTCTCCCTGTATGGCCTAGGCTGGCCTCGTATTGCCACAACCACCATGACTGTTGGGGTTACTGGCCTGCCACTTCACCCAGCAAAACTGAAGGTGGGAAGTCAGGCATGGATTTGGAAGAAGGCTTTGGCAGTTGAAAAGGGTTTATTGACTGCTGGACAAATCACTAAATCTTTTCATCTGTGAGATAGGTTTTAAAATGCTGGTGGAATACACTGAGGTCAGTTAAGTTGGCAACGGATATGCAACTTATTGAATTGACACTGGCAATCCGAAGGTGTTTTAGACTGTAGTTTAAAACAAGCTATAAATAGGTAAAAATGATAGCTTAATCAGACTGCCATCAGCCGTAGATTTACGTTTGTTTGTTGGCCTTTTTCCGAAGGAAAGCAGGTGTTCTGGACTGCAGCCTGGTCAATGCGTGTGATGTATCTCCCTTCCCACCGGTTTGGCCTGTGAGCATTGACTAGAGGGATGGGCTGTCTGGTACAGGGCATCACTCAGGAGGGCGGTGTCTGAGTTTGTCTCCGAAGCCCAACAAAGTCAGCATAAGGATGGGGTGGGGGCGGGGCAGCTGCGCAGCTGAGACTATGCAAAATCACTCATCTTCTCCATTTGTGAAGAAGTATATTTCCAGTGAGACTGTTAATGCGCTCTCAAAACAGCAGCTGTTGTCGGGGTGAAACGTGAACCTGTAAGCACCACTTGCAGTGGACACGGGGTCAGCTGACATTTTACAAATTGCCTTTGAGGGAAATCCAGACTCGGATATTTAAAGCTATAAAGTTAACTGTGGCTCTTGTGGGTAAGGTGAATGTGAGTCAGGGCGTTGGGCACCGCTTACATGTCCCGGCCTGTAGCTCCAAGGGATCCTAAAAATACTGATAAAGCGAGGAAGTAGAGACCCGGAGAGGCTCACTAATTAGCTAAGGTCATGTAGTAAATTAATGGCTGAGCAGGGACAAGAACCTCTTTGTCCTTATTTCCAGACGGTAATTACCCCCTCCTTCCCTATTTATTCTTTTATTCCACTTTGCTTTCGTTGGCAGTTATTTAAGTGTTTAAATAGTTTTCACTTGAGCTTAGAAGCCTACTGTACTGAATTTTATTAGGGAGACTTCTGTCTTTTCATCTCCCATATTCATTTGTCCATGATATGGTGTGCTCAGTAGTATTTGTGATAAATTTCTGCTGAATAAGGAACTCTGTGTAAAAAAAATGTTAGCTTTACTTGCATTTTCTTCAAACAGGATGCAGATTTGCAATATTGTAGAAGTGCATTTTTTTTTTTTTTCCCTAAGAAGCAAGTTCCTGGAAACATTCAGACTTTTTTTGTGAGTCATAGGATAAAAGCATGGTAGGGATTGCTTGTGTGTTCTTTTGTTCCCTTTGAGAAACCTTTAATGCTGTTTGTCAAGAACTATGTTCAGCAAATGTTTTATTGCATTTTTAAACAAGATAAGGCACACGGCATCAAATAGATAAATGAGGCTTTAGTAAAAAGTAAAACAGACCCAGAAAATGTAATTACTGTCTCCTTACAAACCAGTCCTTTGATCTGTGAGACGAATCTGTTTAGCAATTATTAGTAGATTCCCTCTGTAGTAGATTTGTAACAAGACATTCTCATCACAAGGAGGAAAATGGTGAACTTTTACATGAGACATACCGGGACTGCATCTTAGTTCAGATAGAAGTTAAGTTGTGTTCAATAAGAACTTTAGTTGTTTGCTTGTCTGCCATGGTGTTCCATGTAGCTCAGACAGGGCTTGAACTTGTTATATGGGATATTGTGGCTGGAAACAATTGCAATGTAAGACAATTCATATTGAGAAAGGAATTGTCAGTTTGATGAAGTATCTTAAAACACACAACTTACTGCACCACAAACCAGATGTCTTCTTGGTCAGGTCTGGACACTGTGTTTTGAGTGAGCCAGTTACTGATTTGGAAGTTTTTTTCCTAGTTACCGGCTTTTCTTCTGCATTATAAATGGTTTCTGTTATGGGTACAAATACCCTTTCTTGAAGAATGAGTAGTTTGGCAAGTTTGAGTAAGTAGCAGAAAAAACATGCTTGTGTTCCAATTGAGAAGAAATTAGGAAAGTTCATTATGTTTTTTTTTTAAAAAGCCATTATACTTTGTTGACTACAATGTCTCCATATGAAGCTTAAAGGATTGTACTCCTGAAGTTAAAGGTGTGGCCTTAATTGCTCAATGGGAAATGCATTGATAGCCACTCACTATTGACAATCAAATATAAATAAGTGCTATTGGTGTTGAGTTAGCATCTTGAGAGGTAATAGGATGTATTTGAAGGTGGTCTAGGTCACAAGGCCAAATGAAGGATGCGAAGTCTTTTCTGAAAGGGTCACAGCATCTTTTCACTTAGGAACGACAACTGCTGATTTCACAAGCACTTGGTGCTTATTTGTTCATGGCCTGACCTACAGTCATTTTGACTAGGGTCAGCCAGTTTCGAACTTCCTAGCTGCCCAGTGAGCACATTTTCTTCTCCTGACCTGGAACCTTCTAGTCTTTTTTTTTTTTTTTTTTTTACTTTTCTCGTTGCCACTGTTATGGAGTCCGGGATACTTGAACTGACTATGCTTCTCAGGTTGTCAATTCTTTCTGGGTTAGCTACACAAAGTCCGGCCACCATCATAGTGCTGGTAACAACAGCTTGCTCACAGGAGGAACTGTCTCTCAACTCCAGGACCCTGTGGTCTTAGTGCCCATCAGGGCAACTGCTGACAAGGTGTAAGACAGCCACTTTGCCTGGCTGAGGTTCCACATGCTTTGGGAGAAGGTGGTTTATGCCTTGTAGCTTGGTTTAGAGCTCACCTGCAGGTGACATCGTGCCCTGGGTCTGTTTCCCCCACCACCCCGGTTGTGGGCAGAGCTCGGAGGTGGGTGTTAGCACACACCTCAAGGTGAGGGAATTGATTGGATACTCTACATTTGGGTGAGCCAGTTTGATAGGGCTTTTAAGAAATGCAAAGTGTGTTATATTCGTGGAAACTGAATGATGGCATAAATTCAGATCCACCAATCCAGTTTCTTTGTCCTATCATGTGCTACAGTTTCTTGTTGACTCATGTTTTCTCCCCACTGCCCTTAGCTTAGCACTGAACTTGGAGCTTCTTGTTTGGAGGGCCATCTATGTATGTGTGTGTGTGTGTGTGTGTATGCATGTGCATGTATGTGAGTGTTAACCACCACATCTCTATTGTGAGGCAGAACCCTGTGCCAAGAGATGGTGGCACATACCTTTAATGCCAGGAGAGAGGCAGGTGGATCTCTTAGTTTGAAGCCACTTGATCTACATAGTGAGTTCCAGGATAGCCAACCTGTATAGAGAAACCTGTCTCAAAAAATAAACACAGACAAACTAGGTCTGGTTGTGTTCTCTAATGGGAAGCTTTTTTTAGTGCAAGGGTGGTAGTATACCTGGGTCCTGGTCCTGTAATTGAGTAGCCTGAATCATTTCTGTTTGGGCATCATTGATAAACTTCCGTGGTTTGAAAAACAGGCCAGAATATAGTCTTTAGTCTGTGAGTCACAGCAATTCAGTGTTAGTGTATCGCTAGATCATGGCCTTGTGGTACAGCTGTGCTTGTTAGTCAAGTACTGCTTTTTTTTTAAAAAAAAATATTTATTTCTAAATTTTTTATTTATTTATTACAATTTATTCACTTTGTATCCCAGCTGTACCCCCCTCTTTTGTCCCCACCCCCCCTCCTTTGTCCCCACCTTCCCTCCCTCTTCTCCTCCCATGCCTCTCCCCCAGTCCACTGATAGGGGAGGCCCTCCTCTCCTTCCATCTGACCCTAGCCTACAAGGTCCCATCAGGTCTGGCTGCAATGTCTTCCTCTGTGGCCTGGTAAGGCTGCCCTGACCCTCCCCCCAACCCCAGGGGAAGGTGATCAAAGAGCCAGCCACTGAGTTCATGTTAGAGACAGCCCCTGTTCCCATTACTAGGGTACCCACTTGGAGACTGAGCTGCCATGGGGCATATCT